AGGCGCCAGGTAAAACTAAGAGGGGAGAAGGCAGGGAGAGTTGAGTCAGTGAGTGAAGGCCTTGTGAGGGGAAGGTGTGAGTGTGTCGGTACTCGTTCCCCTCACCTGGTGTTGAGTGGGTGATGGTGGTGTTGGGCCTGGTGTTGAGCTGAAGGACTGGTATAGAGTTCATATCACCGGTGTTGAACAGGTTAGGTGAGATCGAGACTAATTAATGATGGATTTATGTGAGAGAGGGAGGAAAGAAGGAGATAAGGAAGGAGAAGTGGCCATCATAATCTGGCAACACCGTAGAAGCCTCAGGTAACATATTTAAATACCAGTGAGGAAGAAACCTAACCCAGCGTGTGTTGACTTTGGCAGTGGTTGTGTATCCTGTACCTAGGTGGCACTGTATACCAAGGTGACAGATGGGAGTTGAAGTAAACATCCTGTGACCAGTTACTTGAGGCTCTATGTTTTTTAAGCCACCATCATATGAGGTCAACACAGCCCAAGAAAGTTGTTTGATAAGGCAGATGTTGAGGTCAGGTGGAGGTTGAAGGTTACACTGGTCATTCACCCCCCCAGCCCCCCAGGTGCTCCGTTTGTGCCTCAAGACCAGAAAGTGAAAGTTATGGTGAGGAAATGTTGTACAGGAGAATAAATAAAGCAAACTTGGGAAATATTAAATGTTACTTGAAGGTTTTAGTCTTAGTGTTTATTAAAGGAATAAATAGTTTGTGGAACGTAAAATGAAAGTTTTCTTGGAGAAGCAATTGATTGTTTTTAGACCATGAAATATATAGTTTTAGATATTTTTATGGAGAATAAAATAGACCCTTTCCTATCATAGACTTTTTTGTAAATTTAAAATCGATGATCTATTGTGTTTATTAAAGTACACCAATCAATACATATATATTGAATGATCCTTAGTGGAGAATTATGGTGAGATAGTGGGTATATGTGTGTTGGTGCACAACGTAAATTAGGATGTCCTGCTGGAGGTGAGAGTGAAGGAGCTCTGAGTTTGGTCGTCCTGTGGGAGGTGCACTTGTTACCTGGCCCACCCACAGCCTGGGTGTACGAGGGTAAAGACTTAGGGCAGGTACGTGTAGGGATATGACCAGGGACATGGGATCAGGTATAGGTCATGAGAGGAGGCATGTACAGGAACATTAGCGAGGGCACGGCCTGGTTCATGGCCGTGGGTGTGCTTCAGGCGGGGTAAGTCATTGTGAAGGGTTTCAGCCATGGCTCACTCCACCCACACCCATGACGCAACACCCGGGGTAATCTTCCTGCTGGTGTAACACAGTGTTCACCTTCAGGTATGACTGACACTCACCTGCGTGTTATTGTGCAACTTTGTGTTTCAAGAAGGAAAAACGGAAAACAGTTGAGGATGTACAGTAGTTATAATGAACAGATTATTGTTGTGACTTGTGAGAGGCAGTAAACAATGCTGGACTGAGAAAGAAACTGTTATGATGTAAATATTATGTTACTGTACTGTACTGTACTGTAAAACAATAAAACATCAGTGTAAGTGAGACCAACACCTGGTGAGGGCTGGACCCACATGTATGGTCTAGTATGGAGAGAAAGAAGTGCACAGAGTGGACAAAACAAAGCTTCATTAACACGAGACGCCTGAGTACAAGATGAAGGGAGATGTTCCTTGTTTTGTGAGTGGGGGAATGAGGACCATGACTGTGAGGAGTTGTTTTAATGAGTAGAGGGAGGAGTAGTGGTGTGAGGAGGAGGGGAGGCCACCAAAGGCTGGCCCCTCTACCTCCCCCACCCCAACACTCAGTCTCCCCCACCATGGACGGGGGAGCTTGTTACTCGTGGAGGACACCCGTCAAGGACCCGAGTAAGTTACACGGTGGTCCTCCAGTCAGGATGACCTGCTGTTGAAACCCGGACTCAGACCCAGATTGTGGCAGGTTAACTTGTACACCAGTGTCCACAAGAGTGGGCTCTGCTTGGGTATGTGTCTGTGTCACATAATAGACTGAGCTGATGTTATCATTTTGACCAACGACTGTGGCAGGTTATCGTAATATACTGTATTTACTTTACCCACATTGATGTTAACAACACAGGGAACAGTTAAATGTGTGCTGGGGTTGTAGGTAACAAAAGTTGTGACGTTATGAGCAACCACGTACCCAACATGGCGGTCTCCCCTTAAAGAGGGAGAGGGCCCCCCACACTGGCACAATGTATGTGTTGATGGTCAGATTGTGGGTAACAGTAACAATAGAGGAGTGTAAGTAGATAGTCATGGCCCCTGGTACTGGACGCAGGATTATATGATGTGCTGTGCATGATAACAGTGACATTCGCCGACTCCTCTAGGTGTGTGTTGCACCAGTGGTTATTGTTTTGTGTGTTGTACTGTACCAAGCCTACCAGGATAGTGTCATGGTTGTTATACTGTGGGTGATTCACACAACGTCTCCACCAACCCATCTCACTGCCTGATGCTACTGCTACTGTTCCACCCTGCTCCCTCCTGCCCCCAGTCAGCCTGCTTGTTATTGCTACTGCTGCCTGCTACTTCACCGGTCCGCCACCTAGAAGAACAGGTTTTGCTAAAGTTCAGGGTTGACTAGTTTGTGGAACATTGTTTACTCTATATGACACTCCTTAGCTACCATCTTGCTGATCTTGTATCAAATAGGGTCAAGTGGTCAGGGGAGGGCAGGTGGGTTAGGTGGCTGGCATAAAGTTCACATATTAGAGAGAGGAAGAAGACCTGTGTTGTGGCTGTCAGCGGCTGTTGTCAGACGTACAGAGAATGTAGGAGTGGCTGTGTGCTGGTGCTGTAGAGAGAGAGACTAGACTCTGGTTCACACCGACATAAACACACTAACATCCTATTAATTACTTTGCTTTAGATGACAACTTTGTGTTCCTTATTATATGCAATTTATCTCATATACGTACCCACAGTGCTGTTAGCTTACCAAAAGTAATTATTTATCAGCAGTGGCAGGCCTTTCTGGTAGGGTGGGTCTCCAGCTGTCGGGTCGTGTCTATGTACATTCACTACTGCGTAGGTTTATCCCTTACCTGGCAGAGACATTATGAGGTGAAACGTTTTAGTGCAGGTTAATTCAGGTGTTGGCAGCGACTCTACTTATTGAAAGGTGTTGTGTGATCACTGTGGTTCTCCTTGGTACACTGGGAAAGGGGGGGGGGTGGGCTGTGTACTTACTCCCATACAATGATGAATAGTTCAGATATACAGAAGAAATAAAGTAATCACTGTATACAATCAGCGGGGAGGAAGATTGGAATTTAAAAGTTGTGGTCATCGGTGTGAGACAAAGTATGGGAGGATCGGTTTGGTGTTGAGGGCCGTGGTCACCAACCCTCAGACATGATGCTGGGATCTTGGTTGATTGGTTAAAATAAACTAGAATGTCTACAAGTATGTCTTAACCCATAGAGGGCCGAGTGATAAGGTGTGTGTGTGTGTGCGTGTACGCGTGTACGTGTGCCTGCCTGCCTGCCTGCACAGTTCTTGGTGGTGGTAGTGTAGATGGAGGTGGTGCAGCCTGTGCAGGTGGCAGTCCCCCATGTTTAACGTAGTTATCAACGGCACATTTACTGCTGGCCGCTCACTTCCTGCCCTGCCCTCCCTTTCCTTCTCCTTCCCCTCCTTTATTCCTTCCCTGGACAGGCATCTCTTTTTTATCCTTTCCTCCCCACCTTCCATCCATCTACAGCTGCTGCTCTCTTGTCCTTCCCACCCTCTCCTCTACACCCTCTTTCTATAGTTGGGGTGATTCTAAGCAGGGGAGGGGATAGTAAACGCATCGTACGTTTGCCAGGTTACTGTACTATCACCGGATTGCTGGACATAGCTTCTCAAACTGTCGTAAAGCATTGAAACCAGGTTGAGATTAACAAAGATTGGATGGGTTAAAGCAACAACAACAACAATAATGAAGCTACTATTGCGAGGTTAAGTAGAATCTCAGCCACGCACTTCCCCATTATCGGGCCAGAAAATCATTAGCCCCTCGATGGAATAGTTTGTGTGGAGAAGATTAACTCTGAGGGATCGAAGTGAGGCACCGCAAGAATGCCTCCTGGCCACACCCCGTGAGAACTGACCACCTGGTACAAGATGGGGTCAAAGCCGAGCAGGAAGTGCGTGTTTTGCTCAGGATACACTTAAGTCAGTAGTATTAGGGAAGTGTGTCTGTACAGGATACACTAGGTCATCAACGTTACAAGATAGAAGTGTATTTTGGTCCAGAATAAACACTTAAGTTGTCAACAATACCTACCAGGGAAAGTGTAATTAATATACCTTACTTGTTTTCTATACCACAGCAACTCGCTGATCATATATCGTAATGCCATAGAGATTAGGGTTTTTGCTTTTTTTTTTCCCCTTGGTTGAAAATTTCCTCCAAATCGTAAAGAATTATGTTGAATGAGTGTGAAGCTATTTACAGTATTACCTATGCAAAAAATTACCAGTTACGAAGGGTCAACAAATCATACTCTTAGGAATATTTTACACGATGGGGTTGACGGCATTACTGCTGCCAGTGTCTTCCTGTGTGGACGTTGATAAAAATGTTCAGTGTTTCTCTTACTTTTTGTACTTTTATATGTAACTAACTTTATTTGATTAGATTGTAACCATGGAATTCTTTTATTGAAATATTTTGTGATTGTGCAAATGAGAATATTACAGTTGTTGTAGTTAAGCACTTGATGGTCAGTATGTACTGTAGTACATGAATTTGCTTCTTTAAAGATCTTAGTACTCCAGTTTTTTAGACTAATTATGAAAAAGGTGAAGTTGGGTACATTCCTCTACAGTATGTGTGATATTTTTTATTGATCCTCCTAGTTATTTAGTGTCACTTTCTTTCACTACTTTACTTCTGGCTCCTCTCTTATAGGATGTTCTGTAGCTCTTTGTCCTTCCTAGACACAACTAAGACTGTGATATACAGGGTATCTAATGGTTATTTTCTTCTTTACAGACTTATGTCCGGACTGTGCGGCGTACTTCAGCAATCGGTCAGCATGTCACATGATGCTGGGCAAGTACTACGAGGCCCTCAACGATGCCAGGGAGGCCGTGCGGTTAGACACATCCTTTGTAAAGGTAAGGGGCATTAGTTAATGCTAATGAGGTAGTGTGGTAAGCTTTAGCATTTATAAAGGTGAAGGTAACAGACCCTTTAGTGTTTGTTCCCTCCAAATTCAGGCCTTGTTAATTTGATAAAGTGGCAAAGGTTGGTCATCTAATTGGCATATGATGAAGCAGTCTTCCAGAGGACCTGTGAGAGTAAAGTGCAATCAGGAGTGGCTGTGATGTAGTTCAAGATAATATTAGTACTGTACATTAAACAGTTCCATGCTCAAGTGATTTTTATACAACTTACTTGCTGCTGTAGTGTGACACTCTTGGCCCAAAAGTGTACTAAAGCTGTCCACACTTGATGACATCAGTAACAAAAGTAATTTTTTTTATTTGTAAAATAAATTCATAATATGGTATAGTAGTACAGTAAAACAAACATATCGGTTCATAACAATGTTTTCCTACTAAATATAAGTTGACAAAGACATATAATCAAAGCATGCAAGTTATAGACATTTTATATATGAAAAATAGTCAAACCACTTGTTCTTACTGTCTTGCAGGGCTACCTTCGTGTTGCAAAGTGTAATATAGCTCTTGGAGATGCCACAGCAGCACTCTCAGTGCTGAGACAGGCTAGTGATTTAGAGCCCAACAACCGGGCCATCAGGGAGGAGATGACCAAAGCCCAGAGCCTTGTTCGCTGCCAAGATGAAGTTGCTAAGGCTACAGCTAAGGCTGACTACAGGACAGTGAGTGGCAACTCTTTATTTGTTTAATATAAATTTTGACCATTCTGTACATGTATATTTTTCATGGACTAATGCTTCATGCCAATAAGAAAGTTTGAAGAATGCCACCAGTTAGAAGCAGTAACATTGTGTAATCTGCCATGTTGTGATTTTATGCCACATACTGTACTACACTATATTTATATCCAACATTGAATCTGGTTTGTTGCACATTTACACAAGTCTTGCATTATTATAATATCGGTAACTAACTAACTAAACCTATGCGAGTCTCTTCATGATGCTGAAGAGGAGCTGCAAACCATTATAGGATTCATAGTGATTATTAATTTTACAATTGATATAATCTCTAGCGCAAGACTCAATGAATACATGAGACAAATTTCATACACACCCATACATGGGTGTAACATATATACTGTACAGGGTATATATATACAGCTGCACCCATACTTATGACGGTGTTAGGGACCCAAATCCAGGTCGTAAGTCGAAAATGCAAAAAATGATAGTGAAAATCTAAAATGAAATACAGTACAGTAAAAGTAATCAATAATGAAGAATGAATACAGTGTTACTGTGCACTTACCTTTAATGTAGTCAGCTGAATGCACACGGGGCCCCCATAATTTTTTAATTATACATGACTACATTAACTGGATGAAGCAGAGGAGGAGACAGGGCTGGGTCGGTCATCAATGTCGCTTTCTTCAGACAGGTTAACATACAGGGGAAACTTGCTTGTTGAAGGTATTGGATCATCTTTAGGGAGTGAAGAGGCAGCACTGGTGGGGCGTGAGGAGACGGCAATGGGGGACTTCTTAAAACATATGTCCAATTTTGACTGCACAGTTTGCCTTTTCTTTTCATTGTTAATCTCCCTGTAACAAGCAAGTGCATCTTGGATCATTCTGTCAACTTTTGCAAAACGTTCAACATTTAGATCCATTCTGTCAAAACATTTGCATCCCCTTATTAATTGTAGCAAATGCCTCTGCCATTTGTTTCACTGAAAATTTTTTGGGGGGTGCAGGTTCTTCTACATTTTTATTCTCTTCTTCCTCTGCAATTTTCTGTGCATCCAGTTCAATAAGATCCTTCGTTACTTAGCCCTTCTGCTACACTTTCAACCAACTGCTCAACATCTTCATTATCAATTTTTAAATCCAGCTGTTGACCCAACTCCACTATCTTGTTACTAATCTCAGAAATTACTTCATCTTCATTAAATCCTCTGAAAATTCACATATCTTTTCAGGACTTTCTTCCATATTCCATTCATGCACTGACCTGTAACCTCATCCCATGCTGCAGCTATGTTCTTTATACATTTCAAAATATTGTAGTCCTTCCAAAACTCTCTGTGCGTTTTCTCACCTTCAGTAGCAGCAATAGCCTGAGCAAAGGTCGTACGTAAATAGTTCGCTTTAAAAGCAGCAGTAGCACCTTGATCCATGGGTTGGATGATAGAGGTAGTGTTAGGTGGAATGTAGACTACCTTAACATCAGGGTGCAGGTCGTCCAGGTGTGGTGGGTGTCCCGGAGCATTATCCAAAATTAACAAAATCTTGAATGCAATCCCTTGTTGCAGACAATACTCCTTGGCTCGTGGAATGAAACAAGTCAGGAACCAATCCTCAAACAGTAGTAGGGTCATCCATGCTTTCTTATTACTGGGATAAAACACTGGCAGTGTGTGCTTGCTGACATGTTTAAAAGCCCTCGGGTTCTCTGAATGATATATCATGAAGGGCTTTATCTTGAAACCAGCTATATTCCCTCCAACCGAAGTGTGATTAACTTAGTGCTCTACGGCGTGGGTGCTGTAGCCACGAGGCGACCCAGCCCACGCGACGCTCTTGTACGGGACAGAAACGTTTTGGTCTAGAAAATACGCACGTCAATTGAAAATATTTTTGGTACCGACTGCGGCGGTCATATGTGCAGGTGGTCGTACTGACCGAGGCGGTCGTATGTGCGGGTAGTCGTAGGTCAAGTATGCCGTAAGTCAAGGAATAGCTGTATACAGTTAATTTTTTTATAAACATGTATTGTACAACATAATTTACCTTCAGTTGTGTAAGAACCGCTACAAATTTTACACTCTTGTTCTTTTCATACAGGCCATATTCCACCTGGATCGAGCGTTAGATTTAGCAGTTGGATGCCGGAACCTCAAAGTCACCAAGGCTGAGTACTTGGTGTTCTTGCAGCGCTATGCTGATGCTCAGGAGATGGTCAAGTGAGTTTATTGTTGTGAGGGAAAATAAAGTTTCCTTGAAATTTTTTTTGGAGAAATCAATTAAGAAGGACCACATACTAACCTTTACTTTACTAGAAACGTGGCAGTTGTGTCATGATAAATTCTTTGTAGTTTGTCATTTAATATTTCCCCACCAGGCTGAGTTGGTCATCTGGCCTGTAGTGTTCTTGTGAAAATAAGAAAAATGGATAATGGTCCGGTTGATTGTTTACAATGTTTGAATAAAGACCATTACTGGAGACCTTACTGAGGGCTGGAGCTGCTACAGTAAAGGGTTAATTTGGTGTAAAAATTTTATATATTTTGTTTACATTACTGTAATACTGTATGCTTATAATCGTAAACATTACACTAACAACGTGTTCTATTCATCAGCGAGATTCTACAGTACGAGTGCGGAAATGCTGATGCGATATATGTAAGAGGAATGTGTCTCTACTACCAAGACAACCCTGAGGCTGCCTTCAACCATTTCCAGCATGTACTACGCTTAGCACCTGACCACCAGAAGGCTCGTGATGTTTACAAGGTGAAACAGATTTTTTTCTGGATTTTCTCGTCTAATATTCATTAATTTTGTCCTCTCCAGTGAAAACTTTACTTGAGGGACTATATAGAGATGAAAGTCTGTTATATCAAGGGTCCATTAGATGTGACCCCCTCATCTAATGGATTACATGGAAAGAGAAATTCGTTATATAGAAGTTTCACTGTACAATACACTCTAGTTAGGCACTTTGTGTTTACTGCTGTGTGTTGCTGGGAACCATCAGACATAATGTTTATAAGTTGACTCGGTGTAAATCAATCTGGGGATTTTCGTTTGTATCCTCCTACTGTATCTTATTCAAGGGATAACTTAAGCATTTAATCAACTATTTCCTTAACTAATGTTCACGTCGTTTGTTAAAGTTGTTGCAACAAACTTTCTGTTATTATATATATATCTAATGAAAATCTTTTACAAGTCCCTGATCTGGGCGAAAAATGTTTGGTAACAGTTTGCTCAATGTTTTAATTAATAGAATATTAAATATCTTGTTTATATTTTCAGAAAGCAAAGCTACTAAAGCAGAAGAAGGAAGAAGGTAATGATGCCTTCAAAAAGGGGAACTTCCAGGAGGCATTTAATCTGTATACAGAAGCCCTGGCCATCGACCCTCTCAATAAACATACTAATGCCAAACTCTACTTCAATCGTGCCACAGTGGGGTCAAAGGTAGGCATTTTGTATCAGTGCTGCGGAGTCCATTAACCTCTCCTCCACCATAAACTGAAGCTGTGGTGTTAACACATTGTTTAGTGCACCACAGCCTCCATGTGTAGTAAAGAAGGGTTGAAGCACTTCCTACATGAGTGTTATTTTGACTAGAATTAAGTTTTAACTGTACATTGTGTTCCACTTGTTGTCCCTGAGTGTGGTACATCATTTACACCATTACCAACTGAGTGTCTCCTATTATGAAATCAAGTTCAGTTATAGCTCATATTTTTCCTTCCTCCAACATTCCATAATAAATCTTCAAGGTTAAAGATATTTACAAAGAAAAGAAATCTTATTTTTTATTTAAGTTTTATATTAACATGTAATCATCCACTTATTTTGGCTCACCCCATGACTGTTTTTATTCTTTAACAGTTAAATAAACTTGAACAAGCCACAGAAGACTGCACAGCAGCCATAAACCTTGATGATGGTTATGTGAAAGCATACCTTCGACGAGCTAGGTGTTACCAGTTGTTAGAAAAGCATGAAGAAGCTGTCAGAGATTATGAGAAAGTTACCCGTATAGACCGGAATCAAGGTAAGCCTAAATGGTTATGGTCTTACAGTAATGTATTTCACAGTAGTGTTATTCTTTTTTCTTTCTTTTTTTTTTTCATTTGTATAAGATGATGAATGACGATAAAAGACAATGGTATCCCTCACCAGGATGGTGTCTGTTTTATTCATTTTGTGTTCATTAATCAAAAAATTTAGTATGCAGGGTATTATAAGGGGTTTTCTTCGATTACACTTTGAGTATGTATAGCTATTTCGTATAACCTCTGTCTTGTCAACAAGTGACCTGAGCGAGTGAAGGAAAGTATCCTGTTCCCTTAATTTTGGATATCTTTACTCTTTCTTTTGTATTTTTTTTTTTTTTTGTATGTGCATATATGTGTAGGGGGAGAGGGGGGAAAGCTGGTCGAGAAATTATATTTGCCTGTACAGTATTGTAATTGCATAAAATGTTAGTAAAATGCAAAACAAGAAATAGAGACTGATGGTTGTGTGTTACAGAATATAAACGATTACTACACGATGCCAAAATTCAGTTGAAGCGGTCGAAGAGAAAGGACTACTACAAGATCCTTGGAGTAAACAAGAACGCTTCTGATGATGAGATCAAGAAGTCCTACCGCAAGATGGCATTAGTGCATCATCCAGGTGAGTGAAGACCTTAGAGAGAAGAGAACAACCACTTGTAACAGGAGTGAGGGTTTATTGCTTCATATGTTTCTTGATTGACAATAAGTTGATGAAAATAAATCTGTTCATGTATATCCAGGTAAGTGCTGTGAAGGCATATAATTGTAAGGTTCATGTTCTTGTGGTAGGAACAAGTAGTGAATGCACAATGTGAATGTAAATTAGATAAAGCACTGAAGAATGATGTTAGTGAGTAGAAATAGTGAAGGAGAGTAAGTCAGAGTTGTTAGTAGTGTCTGGATCAGTCTTACACTCAACAAGTGTAATGTGTCTGTTTTAAAGATGTACCCAGGGCTTGATAAACACACTAAATAGTACAACATATGTTAATTTATCTAATACATTAACACGCAAGCGTCCTGTTTTGCCGGCAGCCAGCACAACCTCCCCTTCTTCATTTTAATGTGATGCAGTTGTTTGTATATGGATTATTTTAGAACATTTTGTAGGATTTGACTAAAAATCCATACACATTAGATATATAACTTGATGCATATATTTAATTTATATTTATGTGATTCCAATGTTATATAAGAGGAAAATAAGGAGAGAATTTTTAATTACAGGTATATAACCATAATTTTGTGCACCATGGTAGTAGCACTGAAATAATGATAGGCATCTCAGCCAGAACATATGTAGTGTTAGATAGAGGACAGGAAACTTGTTAAGCAGTATTGTGTACTTTTGGAGAGAGGTGTACAGTATATTGTCCTCTTCCTTCAGATCGTCATGCTAATGCTAGTGACAAGGACAAGCATGAACATGAAATCAAGTTCAAGGAGATAGGAGAAGCCTACTCAGTGTTGACTGATACCAAGAAGAGGGCCATGTACGACAGAGGACAAGACGTCAACGATCCTGAAGGTGGCTTTGGACATGATGGTTAGTATATCACTTAAGTTTAATAATATTAGTTTTATCTGGTGTATCTTATCTTTTCTATTACCCTTGACTTCAGTCCTATTTTCTTCAGTTAATATTCTATATAAAACCTCACAAACTTTTCATATTCTTTTCTATTACCCTTGACTTCAGTCCTATTTTCTTCAGTTAATATTCTATATAAAACCTCACAAACTTTTCATATTTATCCAATGTTCACGAATTTTCTATGTGAAGAGACATTTTCACATAGTGTACTTCAATATAGCACATAAGGATCAGGGAGAGGGTGAGAACAGTAGTGACATTTATCCTTTAACTCCAGCACAGTTTTGCCTCGGCACATGATGGGTTGTTATTCCTTCAACGTGATTGTCTGGAATAACTATAAAATCTCAGTGCCTCCACAAATTCCAAATACAGTACATCATGTACGGTTGTACCTTCCCAGTTGAGGAGAGCACCTATACGCATAGTAGGGTAGTCCTAAATTTTTAGCTACAGTTTTAGTATCTGAAGTAATACTCATAGCATATGGTGGTGAATTTTGTGTGCTGGTGATAATACCACTTGCTGAATATGTCCCCACTGGAAGCACTCCAGAGCAAACTATAGAAAGAAAGACCATGACCTCAGTAAGCATACATAACATAAATAAGAACACAATAGTGAAGAAGCAGGATAGATTGAATAGAAGAGAAATTTAATAAATCTGTAAAATATTTATTTTTTAATATTACTTTGATAGATATACTGCCTGTGTGTGTGTGTGTGTGTTTACAATAATTAAACCAGCAAACTAGAGAGACTGAAAAGTAATTATTGACATTTTTTTTTCCACCAGATATTGACCCCAATCAAATATTCCAAGCCTTCTTTGGTGGAGGCCACGGGGGATACAGCTTTGGTCACAATGCGGGCTTCCAGCAAGCTGGTTTCCCAGGGAGTGGTTTCGGAGGTGGCAGCTTCCCCAGCGGATTCCACTTTCAATTTGGCTAAAAAGGACGAGGAGTCTCTGAACTGTGTGGGGGTAGTCTTGATGTGGGAAATATTACGGTGTGGTGTTTCATGATAGGAAAACGTGTGCGGTCTCCTAAATTTAAGTATTTAAAAATTTTAAAAAATATATATATAAAAAATATGCTTATTTGCCCCAACATATTTCCCATGACTAATTCCAGGATATATTTAAATCCTCTTTGACAAAGGTAAAAATAAATGTATATATATATATGTAATGTTTGAAGCTACAGCTGTAATATGTAAATTATCCTGTCTTCATTATTCAGGAAGATACAGTATGTTGACCAAGCTATGCTAAAACCTTGTAAAGCGAATATTGTCCTTGCTTTGAAAACAGTATCAATGAGATGTATATACACTTAATTATAATAATTCACATCCCAGGGAAATTATCAGAATAACTAGGAAACCTGTACAGCATATTTATAAATGAGAACCTGAATGTTGTCAGTTTTGGAAGATTAAAAGGACAGCTTTAAAAACACCAGAAGAATTACTGTGAAAATCTTCTTAATTTTGTATTGGTGTTTTATGTCATCCATGATCATAAGCTTTTATTTTTTCATCTGTTGTGCTGCACTATCACTTAAATACTCACCACAGTATATATATACTGTATATATATACAGGGTCTTGTGATAGACCCTGTATATGTATAATGTGTACATGTGTTCTTGTCCATCTCCATTTGTGAAGGCTCAACCATTATTTGCCTCGGACCAACATTTGGCCTCACAGAGGCTGCTGTGTTTCTGGTACAGTACAGTTCTCTTACAAATCAAGCTAACTATATTTTTCACTTGCATATTTAAAGTTTTCACCCAAAACTTTTTTGTTTACCGTGTCACTTTCTTCAGCTACAGGATTTGTGATTAATGATCTTTTGTCTAGAGTGAAGATGAAAAAATGTGTTAAGTAAGGAAAATATTAGTGTTCAGAACTTATTTAAGCTTCAAATCACTGATCATATGTTAGTTGTACTCAGCTGTCGTGTGAGTTTTGGGCCCTCTGGGGATACTGCCGAGTCCATCAATTTGTATCAATTTTTTTTTTTTTTTACATAATACCCTGAGGCAATTAAGATAATGATGGATTCACTGTCGGTCATAGAAATGAAGATCAGTGGCATTTATCTTTATTAAATGTCCAGGATACTACATTGTGCATTCCTGCCTCAAGTACTTTATTGCTGCTTCCAAGTAACACAGATCAGTGATATTTGTGTATCTGTAAAGACTTCAGCTCATGCTACTACAATTTGTCTCATTTGTTTGGTATTTTTCCAATAAATACATTTTTACCAGTCTTTAGGCTGACATACATCCATATACTACAAACTGTTTATATGTGGGAAGTTGACACAGTTGTATGTTGAGCAATATCTAGCTGAGGGAGGTGGTTAATACACAGTGGATATACACTTCGTGTACTTCTCATGTCCCTTTTTTTTACACAAGATTAAACTTGAGTAAGTTTATATATATATATATATATATATATATATATATATATATATATATATATATATATATATATATATATATATATATATATATATATATATATATATATATATATATATATATATATATTCTAAATTTTATATATTCAATGATATTTTATATATTGTGTTGTAAATTAGGATTTTTGTGTTGATTGTTTGATAAAGGAAAATCATAAGGGTGAAAATATACACAGACCATTTGTTACAGTCATTATGTCACAGAAAAAAGGAATTATTATTTGGGTTTGATGTGTTTTATATTTTACACGTTTACATAAATTATACTGTATTAAATTATTGAATCAACATTGTATGTTTCTAGATGGGAGAACTTGTGTAAGCATAACAGTACCTTGAAAATAAAGTTCCAAATGTGTACTGACGTTTTTATAACTACAGTCAACCTCACTTTACGCGGTTAATATAACCCACAGGGTACCGCGGAAAGTGAGAAACGCGTAAAGTGAACAACATAACATATGGGATTAATTGAAATAGAGACTGGGCCGACCCCCAAACTCCACTTTTTGACGACACACAACTATGTTGTAGTAAAATTTTATCTTAACTTTATGATGGTATGCACAAACAAGTAATATAGAAGAGGTTAAGTTAGGAAAAATAAAGGTTAGGTTAGGAAAACTAAAAGTTAGGTTGAACACTTCCGTTAGTAGAAGGGATGGGTCGGCATACAGGGATGGAGGCTGGTTCCGAGGCAGAGGGCAGGCTACTGGCCCTCAGGTGAGTCACCATCACTGTCATCCACACTTGTCAGGGCCTCCCTGACAAATCCCTCAAAGTCATCTTCACTGTCTCTACCTCTGTCACTATCACTGGCTTGGGCTGGCTGTGGTGGGTTGCGGGCGAAGAACTCTGTTATGCTTTGCTGACGGCTGGTGTTTATGTTGTCGTGATAAACCTTGAAGTAGGGCTCCATAGTCTGCAACAGCTGGGTAGTGAAGATTTCATACCTGTTTGCATCATGGTCGTCGGAAAGGAGGAGCTTGATTTTCTCGACACTCGATGGCACCCCTAACATTACTATGGGATAAGCGGTGTTCTTCTTGGGATGACGCACCACCTGCCTCTTCACTGACGTCATCATCATCTACCATCTCGTCGGTAGTCACATCAGGATCCCTTATCACCGCCAGGATGTCGTCGTTGGTGGTCTCGGAGAAGCCTGCAGCTGTAACACTCTGCGCAGCTTCTCTGGCAAGGTCCACTGCTACTGCAACAGTCTGAACCTCACCAGTCACAGATTAACTGCCTTACGCCCGGAATGCCTTGCAACACATGTCTCCATGGGTGACAAACAGTTGCTACAGACAGCTGATCCCATGCCTCCACCAAGAAGTCCACAGCCTTCTTGATGTTAAATATTCTCCAGAATTGTTTGAAAAGTATTTTTTGCTCTGCCAGCTGTTGATCTTGTCTTCTTCGCTCTTGCTATCGGTGGTGGTGTCACTCAGGTTACGCAACTCTTCCCTGGTGTTGGTGTAGTCGTTCAGGAGCTGGAATTTTTTTGTTGAGAATGCAGCTTTTACATTACAGATTAACTCTTGGTCCATGGGCTGTAATATAGACGTAGTGTTGGGAGGAAGGAAGACCACTTTTACGTTGGGGTGGCGATATAACAGTAGGGGAGTGTCCTGGTGCGTTGTCCAGCAGCAACAAAATCTTGAATGGCACATTCTGTTGCTCACAGAATTTCTTTACATCGGGAACAAAACAGTCATCAAACCAGGAGAGGAAGTGTAGAGAACATCCACGCTTTACGTGCGGTCAGCCAGTGGACATTTAGCTTGGTCATGTCCATGCTCTTGTAGGCGTGCGGCTTGCAGGCTGTGTGGATCACCGATAACTTGAGCTTACAGGTACCGGAGGCATTGGTGGTAAACAGGACGGTGATGCACTCCTTCTGCATCTTCCGGCCCCGAATCTTGCTGGCATTCTTCACAACGAAGGTCTTGGAAGGTGGCATTTTCCAAAAAAGACCAGATTCGACCATGTTAAACACCTGGTCGTCGGTGTACTGTCCTTCCTCTATAATCTCACGTAAAAACGGAGGAAATTCCCTAGCCGCAGCACGGTCAGCACTAGCTTCTTCATCACCAATGTTTATATTGGTGATCTTGTTCCGTATCTTAAACCTCTGTAACCACCCAGAGGAAGCATTAAAGGGTTTGGGCTCTGTAATTCCCATCTTTCGTGACACTGCAGCATACAGTTCACGTGCGTACTCCTTAACAGAGCGCGTGTCGACCGCCATGTTCAGTCGCGCCTGACGCACCAAGTAGCTCACAAGTAATTTTTCCGTCTTGAGAAGCACCTGGTTGTGAAAATACTTGATCATAGAAGCACCTGTAGACTTTGTGATCTTCATGTGCTCCTTTATCTTGGCTGCATCATTCTTTATCATCCGGATCGTAGATTCGTTCACACCATGCTGGCGCGCCAAATCAACCTGTCTTGTTCCTTTCTCTAACTCTTGGATGATCTTGTACTTCACCTCGTAGCTTAAGGAACGTCGTGTCTTCTTGGGCTTAGGGCGGCTGGGTCCAGGCAAGGAAAGGTTTCTCTCTCGGGGCGGTGGTCCGGCGGAAGCCATTTTACAGAACAATGGATGCACGATTACATGGTGTGGCCTGGAGGGATGAAATTGCTGCCGCTAGGTCAAGCGTCGTCTTTCCTCCCTCCCTCCCTCCCCCGGGTGGACACGTCATATTACTTTAAACCAATTACAGCTTGCAGCGGAGGGAGGTAGGGATGCATGGCCAATCACAGTCCGATACGTCATAGGACGTCAGTGATAACGCAACAGACATGCACTGCGCAACCTTACCGCGCGGCTTGGCCAGGCGGAGGGAGCAGGCGGGTGGGGCGAATCTAAAAATAGTGTCGAGCCAGACACTTTCCGCGTAAAGGGGTACACGCACCGTGGAATGTGAGCATCCTGGGTTCCGGCAGGGCACCGCGTAAACGTGGAAACGCGGAATGTGGGACCGCGTAAAGTGAGGGTTGACTATTTCAACTCTGTGTTATATTGGTCTCTTTAAACTTGTCAAAAAATGGTGTGTGTGTGTCTGTGTGATGTATTGACAATTAGTGTCTGCCAAGTGAGTTGCCAGTTTGGTGAATAGATGGTCGACTTCTCAGTATACTTACAACAATAAGTTAGTTTTTTATGTGGGATTAACTCTTATGAAAATTGATAAACAGAAATTTTAATCTCATAATCTCTTCCATTTCCTGTTGGAGATGCCAAACATAAGACAATATCAATGAGATAAACGATGTGGCTGGCCTACAGAGGTTGGCACACCATTATAACAAATACAGTCAGCGCTCGGGTAACGTGTCCAATCTACGTACGGTACATCAGCAGGCACTTTCTATAATGGTACCACATGTTGAGTTGTACGTGGTCATGACTGCAGAAAGATACAGTACATTACATCTGTCCTGATCATGTCTACCACCAGGTGCTCCCAGATGCTGTTCACTTGCTTCACTTTATTATGTCGTGTGGACATTGACAAAAACTCGTGGAAAAAACAGTGTGTTGGTCACACCTGGACAACACTGTGAGTCTTGGTAAGTGTAGTTATGTTGACACAAGTCACTGTACAGGTGAAGATATATTTTATCTCTTAATTTATTAATTTATTTGTTCTTTTACATCATATTTATTGTTGGTTAATATAAGAGAACAGATAAATTAAGTGACCTTAAGTCAACCACACAAGAAGGGACCTCCCTCCTCCCTTCCCCACACCTGCCATGTTTCACACAGTCTCCCCTTACTTGGGTTGTTTGGTGTTGTTGATCGTTTGGTGTAGTGTCAGGTATGGTACTACAGGTATTTATGTTTTGTATATTATTGAGCATCACAGGAGACAGCTACTCAAGAACACCTTTCCATTGACACACTGTTTTATTTCTTGCTAGAAAGACTTTAGGTGGGATGTTTTCCAAGGATAAATGAGTCAGTCCATGAACCTACAAGTTCATTGTGTATATGTGGGATGTGGGATGAGGCCATATAGGTGGGCTTTACTACAACACCGCTCAAGTAGTTGTCTCTTCTTCCTCCTCCTTGGGTCCTCTAAACATCAACAGTGTGTGCAGCCTGCAAGATAGACGCAGGTACCATGGTTAATAACTTTACACGGTAGGTAATGGATATACAGGGTATTTATTTTCTTTTACCTCTGCTTCAACTGCATTCATGAATTTCCAGAAAACTTAATTAATCTATGTGCAGCTTACCTGAGTGTTGTTGATCGCTCAGGAAGGCAGTGTAGAAGTCTCCAAGAGGCTGGCCGAACCCTTTCACGGTCGCCTCCGTTCTCCATCTTGAGCGCCTCCTCTTGCCACCGACACTCCAAATGTTGCGGTCGGCGGCTCTCTGAGAGACGATTGTCGGGTTGTCAACCAACAGCTGTTGAGCTGAAGGTGAAGATCGTTTGAGGAGTTGCTCCTCGACTGGCTGGTACAAAGGGATCAAGGTTCTTGCTGTGTTGGTGTTTCTGTTTATTATATTCCTGAAGTTCTCGACGCCCCTCCCGATTTGGTTACTGATGCCATCCCCGATGGCCCTAATATTGTTGTGGACTCTTTTGATGCCATTTTGGATGAAGTTGGCAGGAGACTCAAACACAAGGTAACCTGACGAAGGTCTCTCAGTGTCTGTCTGTTGCTGGATTACAATCTGGGTTGTCATATGCTGGTAAGGCAAGACAGGATCCGGTTCAATGACCTGCACTAAATGGCCGCTGTTCCCCAAAGATGTATTCTGGTGAAATTTCTTGAAGGGGTTCAGATCCCAACTTGAGTAATTATTACTTCCGGATTCTAAGTCATGGAGCTTTGAGGCTAATATGTTGAGGAGGAGGCCGTCACTTCCCTGTGTCTGCATCATTGCTGCCCGAGTGTGAGTCACTGTGTGTGTCAGGACGACAGGTGCCTGTTGCGTGACGACGATTGTCTGAGGCTCTGGATTCGTCACCGTCATGGGATACTGATGAGGCTTCGGATAAAGTTGTTGATGCAGGGGCTGGCTGTTGAGGCCGAGGATGATGGGCTGAACTACCGGCTGGTGATGGAAGGGAACAAACACTGGGGATAGAGGATAGTAAGGGTAGCCTCCCTGATGACTGTGGCTCAGCCTGGAGAACTCCTTGTCTGCATTATCTTTTTCTTCTTCCTCCTCTTCCTCCTCTTTCTTTTTATTCTTTTGGAATTGGTTGAAGAGAGAGTTGAAGAGGAACCTTGGGGAGCGCGATATGGGGACGTTGTCACCTGTCTCCTGAGCCTCTTCTACATCCTCTGACTCTGGTGTCACGGTGGATGTCTTTTGTTGCCCTGTTGGTGACATCGTGAGAGCTGAGCAATAAATGTATAGTATGGGGGAGAGGGGTGTGACAAGCAGTTGAAATATATAATAGACTGCAATATACAGCTACATTTACTTTCTACTAAGGATGTGAGACATATGTCGATATTTTAAACATAACAAATATTAATATGACTAGTAGTCAAATATACTCTCATAGATTTTTCTTTTCTTTAACCAGTTAAGAAGTTCACTACTCACCTTAATTACTGAAAAAGAAGGCATCTCAACAAATGCCCTAAGACTGTTTTGAGGACAAGGAAGTTTGACAGGTTAGCTCTACTAATGTGTGATTATGTAGGTTAACACTTACTAGTTCCGTGCATCAGGTCCTCGTGGAAGAGCACCATGTCTCTCCGGGAGTTGTACATGTAGGAGGGAGAATCCTGCTGTTTCTGCCCCAACACTGCTGCTCTCCTAGAGTGTTGCTCACCCAGGGGCTGTAGGAACCCATTCGGGACCTCTGCTGTTGCTCCCTGTAGGCACAGAACTGCCCCCAGAGTCACCAGGGCCGTTCTCCTTCCACACCCAACCTGTAGAAGGCAAAGGAGCAATAAACTTTGAATATCTAAGAGTAAGTATCTTGTTTGTTTTATAATATGGCCATCATTAAATGTTATGTTATTAATGATGAATTTTTACTTAGTACAGTATGTGTAATTATGAAAGTTTGTTTGTTATATAATGTAAAGGCATTAACCCAGGGGTCAGGATGATTTAGGAGACAGGACTTTTAGGAGTAAATTAAGTCTTACCATATTTGACTCGTTGCTGATGAGGCACAGTAGGTTGTTCTTGGAGGTGTACCAATGTGGAGGTGAGTGTTTTTTGCCCCCTTTTTGTTGTTGTTGGTGGTAGTGAAAAAGAACAATAAGTGACAAGAAAAAATTTTCTTCTGGTAGTTGACACAATTCAGGATCTTTGTCACTTACATGATAGCTTGACGTTACATCAGAGGGGAGAGTTTGATGTCTTGCTCAGTGATAATGGTTCAGCCTCTCTGTTCACTCCCTCACTCTCCTCGTGGGCATCAAGAAACAAGAAAAGTTGTAAGGTGGGATTCTTCTTCACTTGTATTAGTACAGGTACAACAACTCTTGAAATTGTGGTGCAACAGAATTCCTGTGAACTCGTCGTGCTAACCTTGACTAGTAACAAGATAATGAGGGATATGATCTTCAAGCCTGACTGGCTCAACAAATCACAAAATGATGGCAAGTCACATTCTTTTTCTGTAATGTTGGATCTATAGAATGATAAATCAAAGCAACATAATTTTTCTATGATATTGTTATAACCAAATGTGGGCCCACTTTTATAGTATATTTCGACTCTGACTGACACTTGCCAGTGTGAACTGTGTGTGTTGGTCTCTCCTTGATCACCACACCTGTGAGTCTTTCATACCGGGGAGCTGGAGAAAGTCACATCGGTTGGCAGGTTCTTTCTAAACTGGTCTACTTGCCAGGCCGGTGGTGGTGGAGGAGGAAAAACTCCTTGGAAGACATCCAGCAGCTGCGGGTCACCACTTACAGAGGAGAATGATGTTGTTGAATGGGATCTTGAAATTCTGGAGTCTTGGTGTAGAATACCTATGAATCCATTTATTATTCTGTGTGTCTCTGTCTTGCATTAGTTCTTTTTTTATCTCTGTCTGTATGTTTGTGGTTGCATTATTACTCTCCATTGCCAGTCTGTTGTTTTTCTCTACTCGTCTCTCTATCTTTTTTCTATATTTTTTCTTTCGGTCTTCAGTAGGTCAGGAAGTAAGTAAGCTCTCCATAGTGTGTCTGGGTTTCACCTTCTTGCTCTCTTGACAAATTCCTGTACACAACAGATTTTTAAAAGGAAAGCTGCAGCATCTTGTGAATTTTGTTGTTGTTGTGAGTTGTTTATTAAGGGTAAAGGGGGCTCCGTGCCTGTTGATTCATAAATAATATCCTCACCTGAAAATTTGGCATCCCAGCATATTTAACCTCAAAATCAACAATCCTAACCTAACCTAAACCCAACTTTCCAGGTGGCATTAGGGTATTTAATCATCAGGTGAAATAAACTGAGGGTGACTAATCTTCAGGTAAATCTAATATACTGTTCTTACTAATGTTTAATGTATATTTTGTCAAAGAGACTCTCTCCATACTACCAACTGGCTTTCTTTTGTCTTGTATCCAGTTTTTATTTGGGTTAGGGAAAAAAAGTAATACTGTCGTTAATGGTTGACCGTTATCTTTTTGTGTCTGGTTGATGTACAGTATCATGTTGCCCAGTTGCCATGGTCACTGAGTAGGTAGGTAGGTAAAGTAGGTACATAGATACATAGGTAGATGTATAGGTAGGAAGGTTGGTAGGTCGATAGATAAATAGATAGAAAGACGTACATACATACATTCGCTCAGGAAATTCATGACACAACTTCACACTAGTAAATATTAGTTTTAAACATGATGTAAGAACTGTTTACATAATATATCACAGCGTCTACAGCTAGCAACACATTGGTAACATCTAATTAAATATTGAAAGAAATACTAATTACCTCCAAAAAGTAGTTATGAGAGTGTTTATTAAAATCAGATGAAAGGGGTGAAGGCAGGTCCAGGTAAAATAAGAACACAGACAGTGTAAGCTGGGCTAACGAGGGTTGGTGCAGAATCACCAAATTCTGCAGGAGGCTAACTGAAAAATAACCATAACACGAAAAAAAAATGAATTTGGGACGCAGACTTGTGATTATTCAGTTACAGGTGTGGGTCGATGACCTGTGCCCGTGTGGGCTAGTCCCATGTAAGCTTACTGTCTGGTCCCCGAGATATGCTAGAGACTGTCAGTTGGTTGAAAATGTTCAAAGGAGGGCCACCAGACTGGTGCCTGCACTTTGAGAGATTGGAGCGCCTGAACTTGCCTAGCTTATACTACAGACGGGCAAGGGGAGACCTAATTGAGGTGTATAAGCATCTCAAGGGGCACCACTCAGTCGAGTGTCCTTACTTGGAGCTGGCGGACGCTCGCCCCACAAGGGGTCACAGCTCAAGATTGAAGAAGCTGCAAGTCCAGAAAACTGCGAGGGCAAACTTTTTCGGAGTGAGAGTTGTGAGCTCTTGGAACAATCTACCAGAAAGTGTTGTGACGGCACCGAGTGTGAGCTCTTTCAAGACCAGACTTGACCAACACTGGAGCAGGTTCAGGTACATTCAGGAACCGGTGCATGCCCAGTACTTGCCAACAGTGCGTAACAGAGACGTGACCGATCGCCCGGGCGGCTAACGAGCCGATCAGTGGTGATGAGGATAAAAGTAAAGTACTGTAAAGGTGGTCAGGTGGTATGTGTTTTTTTATCAAGGCGATCTCTCTCTCTCTCTCTCTCTCTCTCTCTCTTCTGACGCTGGAAAGTCTGGGATGTCCGGGTTGAAAGTAGTCTGGGAATGGTGCATGTGTGTCAAGAAGGAGGGGAACAGAACATCAGCAAAAAAGAAGCACAAAAGAAAAACAAGCCGAACAAAAAAACTCGCCCACTTAGTTTAGTTTTTGTATTATGAAGAGTTGATGTGACAGATGTGCGCTTGTGAAAAGCATTGCCACACACACACACACAGATATTATCTCTTTCATATAAGTGAAATTATTATTTATCAATATACTAACAAATCTGAGAAGGGTGACGTGATCTAAACAGATGCAGGTTAGTACAAGGAAAATAACCCGCAGTGTAAATTTTATACATTAATATAAAAATAAGGAAGGTCGCCATAAGGAAAAATTAAAAACCATCGTTTTGAGTGATGTTATGAAAGCACATTTTCACAATAGAGACGAGTTTATCAGTTAGTTTGTGTAATTTTGTAGTATTGTGGTGATAATAAAGAAATTGGAATGTTTTTGTGGTAGTATTTCTTTGTGGTTATCTGCATCCATCCAGAAATATAATCAAGTTTTACGTTGCCTAAATGGAAATCATAAATAGTTTGGTTAATGCTAAAACACATAGCATTTTCTATGTGATAATACTATTCTCATATATATATATATATATATATATATATATATATATATATATATATATATATATATATATATATATATATATATATATATATATATATATATATATCAGTAGCCTTTTATTAAACAATAAAATAAAAATAAAAATAGTTTATATATTATTGAGAATTAGATAATATTTTTGTTTTAGATAATGATAAGTCATATGATATAATTTATTTAGATTTCAGTAAAGCATTCGATAGAGTCCCTCATGAGAGATTGATAAGGAAGGTAGAAGCACATGGAATAGGTGGATCATTATTAAAATGGATTAGGTCATGGTTAACTGGTACGAAACAAAGAGTCATCACTTCACTCCTGCAGGCTGAGTCATCCACTTCACTCCTGCAGGCTGAGTCATCCACCTCACTCCTGTTGTCTGAGTCATCACTTCACTCCTGCAGGCTGAGTCATCCACTTCACTCCTGCAGGCTGAGTCATCCACCTCACTCTTGTTGTCTGAGTCATCACTTCACTCCTGCAGGCTGAGTCATCCACTTCACTCCTGCAGGCTGAGTCATCCACCTCACTCCTGTTGTCTGAGTCATCACTTCACTCCTGCAGGCTGAGTCATCCACTTCACTCCTGCAGGCTGAGTCATCCACCTCACTCTTGTTGTCTGAGTCATCACTTCACTCCTGCAGGCTGCGTCATCCACTTCACTCCTGCAGGCTGAGTCATCCACCTCACTCCTGTTGTCTGAGTCATCCATGGTTGACAGTCAGCCAGCTGTTGATGGAGGGTGTAATTATACTGTACAAAGAACAAAATATAATAAATAATAATAATGATTTATGTTTACTTCACACATCCTGAAGTGTTATGTGGGTATTATACACAAGAGAGGCGTCAAGTAGCATAATTGATGAAGATTTGGTTCATAAACATATCCAATAATAACAAAACAATAAACCACATATAATGAAGGTGGTGAGTGAACACAACGTCTACTGTTTTATTACCACGATGATGATAATAACGAGACAACGTTCATATATGGAGCTTGAGTTACGCCAGACTATTAATTATATGAAGCAATACAGCGCTTTTGTGATGAAGGTCCGTCCGTCTTTATAAGGACAAGAACAAGAGAGGGAGAGGGAAAGAGAACACGAGAGAGCGAGTAAAATGGAGAATGAGAGCAAAAGAGAGAGAGACTGCCACAAGTTCAGAGTTCACTATATGCGTTGTAATTGTTAATTAACGTAAGATATTCCATTAAAATCCTTGAAAAATCAAAATCGCTAATAAAAAAAATTCGTGTTTCGAAGCTTCAAATGCTTCAATGAAGCATTAAAATGATTCAATGAAGCTTCAGTGACGTCACTCTGAACCCTGGTATAAAAGGCCGCGACTAACTCCTTTTTGCTCATTCCTCACTCACCGGCTGGAGCTGCAAACACAGGAAGGTAAGACCCACAACCTCTCTTCTCGTCTCCATTGTTTCCACTTAAAAATTTTCCCCGGGCGTGTATATGTATAGTAACCAAGAAAAGCAGTTATTCTTTGGATATAATTCAATAATTGTGCCTTAATATACTTAATTACGGCGTAATAAGTGCTGATTTACGTAAATAGTTGCCGGCCGGTTGTTTGAGCAATTTTCTTCCCAACAACGCACCCCATGTTTCACTGGGCTGTCAGGCCTATGGTACTCATTTTACAGTTTAAACAAATAAGATGGTTTAGTTTTATATTCAGTGTTACTCTTGCTACGTAATTTCTTAATGTTTTTGACCAATATTCCGCCTAAACGAGCCATGACGGTAAACGAGCCTAAACTATAAGCCGGTGGTGGGTAAACGAGCCTACGCCGTATGTCAGTATTTACGTAATAATTAATATTGAGTACAATGACCAGATTAGGTATTTAGTTTTTTTAGTCCTCTATTTTTAATTTAACATTTTACCACGGCTTCGAAGACCAGTCCATTTTTGGCAAAGCCGGGTGGTCATAACTCGATAATTACGCATTTCCCCAAACTTTAACCACCACCAATGTATTCAGCATTGAAAACTGAACTAGCGTAAGTATAATTTAATAAAAATATAACGTTTTTTGAGGCAATAATTAGATACTTCTGGACTGAATCTTCACGGATATTTTTGTTAATACTGTAGTTCGTTGTGGCTCGCTATCCGCCTGGGAGGTCGGTTAAGTCTCTGTTACACACTTCCGAGCATGAACTGGCTCCTGAATGTATGTTTTGGTAAATTCGGGTCCGACTAATTACCCTAATGTAGCCTACACTCGGTGCCGTCACACCGGCAGATTGCTCGGTAATCCTAGAGCAGTGGCTAGCACCAGAACGCGTTGTTAGAATTCGTTAATTTTTTTACGGATATTCTTAGGATGATAGCAAGTAATAAAAACGATACAATGCATAGAACCTAATAGAACAGGGGTGGGCAAAGTGCGGCCCGCGGGCCACATTTGGCCCGCCAAATTATTTCTGTGGCCCGCCACTGCATTTGGCAATCAGAAAAAAAAAATTCTTAATTAATTACAGAAAGGACAATTTTGGAAGTTGGGTGGACATCGCAGCAATACTGGCTCGTTGCTGTTAACCTGTGGCCCGCGAAGTGTGCCACCATTCATGAAGTGGCCCTCCATCAAAAATAATTGCCCACCCCTGTAATAGAACCTGACCAAAGAAACCTATCTCACCTTACCGCACGGACCCCTTGCCATATTAAACCGAGAGTACTTACTTTAATACCTGGTACCAATTAAAGCAACTTTCTTGAAGCGGCATGGAGAATTTCACGTTTTTTGTGGCCATGAGACTCCCCACGGACAGACTGCGCAGCCAGCACGCGCGTGATGCGCCTCGCAGATATGTCAGATTATTGGGCTGCATATTTATGGTGAATAGTTAATTTCTTGGTATACAAATCACGTAGAGGCATCATATTAATGCCATATGATATGGTGCTCGCAGTGTTTTGTCCCGTAATTTACTTCATCCTTCAGGGGGAGGGGCTGTGGAAGGAGGGGTAGGTGCTGTAGAAGGTGGGGTGGGGAGGTATCCCCAAATAGTTGAGTGACTACATGCGCAATTATTCCATTAAAACTCACCCCTAATCATGCATAATTATTGCAATAAAGCTAAAATGACAACGTGCAACATGTGTACAGTATAGTCAAAATTTCACATAGTTGGTGAATAACAATGGTGAAGTGTATTTACCTCAGCCTGGTGACGTGTGTTTGCTTGGACGTGTTATAAACTTTTACCTAATGGCTACTGTGGAAAATGTTTGAACCTGACGATTCATCCCCCAGCTTATTTCACCTGAAGATCAATCTAACCTAAGCCGATCTAATATTACCAAGTGCTTATGAATCTATCTTTTTCAGAACAAGGAAGGACTCGCTAGATTCACGTAGAGTACAAAGCCTTCTCACCGGTGTGGTCCAGGATGTGGTCGTCACCGGTGTGGTCCAGGATGTGGTCGTCACTGATGTGGTGCAGGATGTGGTCGTCACCGGTGTGGTCCAGGATGTGGTCGTGACCAGTGTGGTGCAGGATGTGGTCGTCACTGATGTGGTGCAGGATGTGGCCGTGACCAGTGTGGTCCAGGATGTGGTCGTCACCGGTGTGGTCCAGGATGTGGTCGTCACTGGTGTGGTGCAGGATGTGGGAACAACGGACCATAAATGTGAAGCTTCTTGGACTCCCTACACAACAGTATTCCTTAAGGTTAGTTTTAAGCTGGTCAAGATGATGACTTAAGCTGATAGATTGGCAAGTCGTCACTTGTCCAGCTTCAACAAAATGTAATGGAGTCAAAGTTAGAGGACTACAGCAGAAGCACTCTACCCTGCACTCTACTTTACTGTACGTGTTGAAAACTGTAGCCAGAGTGACCCGAGATTAACAAACACTGAAGAGTAAAATATGGATTTGTTGTAGTGACCTACAGTAGACGTAAAATGGTCTAAATATACAGGACTACATGCCAATTAGTTAAATCAGTGTAGTAATTGATTTAGCAAGTATACAGAAATTTGTTTTGGGGCCAAATTCACTATTAACCAAGATTCATTTAACCTAGATAGACACAACCTAACCCAATAAAAATTAATCCACTCAAAGATGCCATAAAACTTAAAGAAAACAAGTACGTATAATAAAATGATACTGTATTACCCAAATTTGATTGATTTTGAATCAAGAAAGTAAATTTTGAAGTTTTTAGTTTGCTATTCAAAGTATAATGCAGTACTGACTTTCCCACAGATTAAGTTGGCCAAAAGTGACATCGTACTGAGCCTAACGAGTTGAACTTTTAAAACGCCATAACAGGTATAGGTGTTAAGTAACTGTAACTGAAGTTCTGTTAAGAGATGGGAAGTTTTGTTAGAGGTATCACAAAGAGTACTGGATAAAGGTTTTTTGTATGTTTTGTGTAGGTGTGTCTTGTTGGGGTCCAGTAAGTGAACTGTGGTAGACCTTTAGACCTTGTGTACAGTATAGTGCATGAAGCAGTGTTGGTGTTAAGTGATTAAAGTTGTGGATTAGCTGGTATAAGTAAGCTTTGTTGGGAACAGTTTAAATACATGTGGTGGAGGAAAATTGTAAATTTAATCTTCATTGTACAAGAATTACAACTCTAAATGTGTTGCAGATGACAGCTAATGTACGTGAAGGCCAGTATAGAGGAAGTGACAGAATCTTCAGCAAGATGTAACCAACAGCAAGTTACTTCAGCTTCCTCAGATAAGTTACTTATTTATCATAGTATGGCCATCCCCAGAAGCCACTGGATGTAAGACTCGAGAGGAGAGACTTGCTTTTCGTGAAGGGTTGGGAAGAAGCATAGGGCAGTGGGAGGAGGGGCGCTCGTACAGTGGGAGGAGGGGCGCTCGTACAGTGGGAGGAGGGGCGCTCGTACAGTGGAGGAGGGGTGCTCGTACAGTGGAAGGGCACATCTGCATGGCTGGTGGTGAGCTCATACAAAGGACAATAGTGAAAGTTAGATTTCTATGTGATACAAAAAAATGGCATCTACTGTGAAGGCGTGTGGGGGATGATGCTTATGAGAAGACGGCTGCAGCCACAAGTGAGGGAGGGTGGTCGAGTGTACAGTATGGGTTTATGTAAGGATGTAAGTTTAGAATGTAAGAAATTTTGGAGTAAATGATGAGTTGGTAGTGACACATTGTTAATTATGATTGATCTGAATTCAAAATCTTGTTGCAGATGGTTGGTGTACAGGAGGTGGACACAAGGCAGCAAGATGATTGTAATGGATTCTCACTACTGTCCCACACCTCGAGGACTACCACGTTACTAAGTATACAGAATTGGTATACTGTACCGTAAGAATAATGTAATATAAAAGTTAAAGTAAGTATTACTGAAACCTTATTTTATATACTGAAATTTGGTAAAACGTGAGAAATTAAGGTTATGCATTCAAGAACGTAAAAGTAAATCTCCATATTGGTATTGATATATAATGGGCTGGTTAATCCAGACGTATCTAAAATGAAATTCATGTTGCAGATGGTTGGTGTACAAGAGGTGGACAAAACAGGAAGACGACTGTTCTCACTACTGTCCCACAGCCCACACCTTGAGGACTACCACATTACTAAGGAAGTATGCAGAATTGGTATACTGTACCGTAAGAATAACGTAATCTAAAAGTTTAAGTATTACCGAAACCTTTTTTTATGTACTGAAATTTAGTAAAACTTGATAAACTAATTAAAGTAATTCATTCAAGAACGTTTAAGTAAACCTCAATGTTATGTGTATTGGTAGTGACCTGGAACGGGTTAAGTGGGATGTACTGTATATCTAAATTCATGTTGCAGATGGTTGGTGTACAAGAGGTGGACAAGACAGGAAGATGACTGTCCAGCATCCCACACCTTGTGACTACCACCTTACTAAGTACAGAACTGGTAGAGTATACAGGTACGGTTTTGTAAGAATAATGTTATGTAAAAGTTTAAAGTATTACTGAAACCTTATTTTATATACTGTAATTTAGGAAACTTGAGATTTAAAATAATGCATTAAAGAATGAATAACCTCGATATTGTGTATTGGTAGTGATATATAACGGGTTAAGCGAGTTGTACTGTATATCTAAATTCATGTTGCAGATGGTTGGTGTACAAGATAGATGGACAAGACAGGAAGACGACTGTTCTCACTACTGTCCAGCATCCCACACCTTGATGACTACCACCTTACTAAGAAAGTATATAGAATTGGTATACTGTACCGTAAGAATAATGTAATCTAAAAGTTTAAGTAAGTATTACCGAAACCTTATTTTATGTACTGAAATTTAGTAAAACTTGATAAACTATTTAAAGTAATTCATTCAAGAACGTTTAAGTAAACCTCAATGTTATGTGTATTGGTAGTGACCTATAACGGGTTAAGTGGGATGTACTGTATATTCAAATTCATGTTGTAGATGGTTGGTGTACAAGAGGTGGACAAGACAGGAAGATGACTGTCCAGCATCCCACACCTTGTGACTACCACCTTACTAAGTACAGAACTGGTACAGTCTACTGTCTTGTAAGAATAATGTAATACTGTATACTAAAGTAAAATTTTAAGTATTTACTAAAATCTTTTGTATCATTTAGCAAAACTTGAGATGTTTTAAAAGCAATGCATTTAAGAATGTAAAAATAAACGTCAATTAAGCCAGACAGGATTAAAATGGCTAGATACATTATGTATAGTATTATTAAATATGGTAGCCACAGTATTGTTGTGGTTACAAAAATGTCCATTCTATAATAATTTTTTTTTCCACAGGTGAAGTATCAACGAGGTGTAGAACAAGAGATACTCGGACATCAATCAAATTTATCATTTTCTTTTAGTGGTTTGTAAAATTAAGTGTACAGTAATATGTAAGTGTTGTTCAATATGGAGAGGCCTCTAGTGGCTTGTGCTGGAGGGGGTGGCGTTTGTACTGTGGGGTGGCGTTTGTACTGTGGGGTGGCGTTTGTACTGTGGGGTGGCGTTTGTACTAGGGGGAGGCGTTTGTACTAGGGGGAGGCGTTTGTACTAGGGGGAGGCGTTTGTACTAGGGGAGGCGTTTGTACTAGGGGGGTACTAGGGGTGGCGTTTGTACTAGGGGAGGCGTTTGTACTAGGGGAGGCGTTTGTACTAGGGGGGCGTTTGTACTAGGGGGAGGCGTTTGTACTAGGGGGAGGCGTTTGTACTAGGGGGAGGCGTTTGTACTAGGGGGAGGCGTTTGTACTGGTTGACACTTGTAGTAATTACGAGATTATTATGGTTGGCACTCCTTTACAATAACTGTATATAATCAAATAAACTCTGAATAAACTTGACATGTTTTATACTCCAAAGTTGAATGATAATGATCTTGTAAACCATAAGAAGCGTACAACCATAAACTGAACTTGAAACAAGTGTACTGTATGAACCTCTTGAGATGAACATGACGGCTTCTACTGTATATCACAAATACAGTAAATGCCCGCATGATGGCATCTGTTTCATAGATGCCCACAAGATAGCCTATGTATAATAACTACTGTACTGTAATTGGTGCCTATATGATGGTGTATGTATACTGATCACTGACATCCAAGTAGCAGCCTATGTATGACTGTTACAAACTAATTCCCATGTGATAACTTGAATATGTATAATCAAAACTAAAGAATACCCACATGACTGTACCTACAGATGGCATTGCATGTATCTCAATTTGTAGTTTGTACAAGGTGTACAGTACAGACAATCAAAATATCTAAGATTGTGTTAGACATTCAACCTCGGACGAAGGATTTTGACAGCCTTCCTGAAACGGGAGTCGGTGTTCATTTTGAGATCATTGGCCATGTCCCTAAAGATAAGATTTTGATTGTGTGAAAAAATGCCCACCCGAGTCCAATGTGTTTATAAAAGTACACATTGTACATCAGTTTAGGTTCAGTTGGTGTTTGTATTGCACCTGATAACTGAATCACAACTGCTCTATTTGTACATTATCAGACCCAGGTGGGCAGATCTGTACTAGTATTTGAAAGTGAAGTATATAGTACAATACTGCACATGTAAAGTACAGTTGGGATTGTACTTACTGCATGTTGTGACAATCTGGACACTGCACACTTACTGTTGAATGTCAGTCAGTTTTACCCTAAAAAATAGAAAAGAAATCCTTGCTTTCTAATTTCCCTTGCAACTGTCTATATTTCATTTTAAACGTTGAATGTATTTTAAATAGCTGTAATAACTAGGAGGAGGATGGGGCTTCAAAGCTTACTTATAACACCCCCTGAGCAGCCGTAACTGTGCGGACTGTCCATACGTCATCAAACATGGGACAAATTTATTTTGAGCATTCAATTGAGTCTGCTGCTGTATGCCATTCTAAGTACAGTACAGTATATTATGTTGTCTAATTTATGAAAAATATGCATCACACAGGAACATGGAAAATATTAAAAGTAATAATATAAATTATTTGATGTTTAATATAGATCTGAAGTACCATTACAAAATTTAATTGGAATATGTGAATAACATTTATCTGAATTAGCTATGTAATAGTGTAATTGGCACACATGCATCAATAGTCACTGGTGTAAGAAATATAAATATTACCTTATAATATCATACAGTACTACAAATATAATTTACTATGCACTTACATAAGTTTGAAGAAATACAAGTTGACACTACACAAGAGTAAAGGAGCACTCGCCCTAAAATTGCTACAATATTTGTTAAAAAAATTCTCCAAAACTTGACATTAACATCTGTACAAAAATGACACTTTTACATGAGATATTTACTTAAAAGTTGTAACATTTTAAGGCATCACAGTACAGTAGGTCATGACATTGCCTGTTCATCAATTCTTTACTAAAACATAGTTTAGTATTCACCTAAAGAAAAAACTGGTATCTTCAATGCAAATATCAAGATCATTATGATTAAAACACAGTTATCCAAATTATACTAATCTCATGTCATCAGTAATGTGTTTGACATGAGAACATTTATAAAATTCATAGCTACAGTATGTCTTAGTCCATAAAATGGAGAAAAATAAGTTAGAATATCAGCAGCAGATCCTGTGGGATTACAGTTCACTTGTAAGAATCTGCATCGAGTAGCAAGTCCTAAGAATAGTTTTTGCAGTTGCTGGTCAAATGGACTCCAGTCTTACTGGGCTCCAACCTTACAACTGGGAAGGAAGTCTAATCTTATGGTTAGGTTGGCACCCTCCTTCACCATCTCCTTTTCTATATGAAAGTTCTTGGGTAACAGAAGTACCAATAAAACTGAGGAATAAAATTGCAATTGTGCTCCAAGTTTAAACTAATAAAGGTGAAAAAGCAGTAAAGAAAGTTTGTCAGTGCCTTTTTTTTTTTTGCAATAACTAAAAACTGCTTTTATTCTCAAGCAAACAGGTACTAACCAAGTACAGGAGTGCTCCGATTTAAGAAATGGATATGTATTCCTGAAAAACCTTTCGTAAATTGAAGCTATTTTCCAACTGACTTCCATTATACAGTATAAAGGGAGAAACGTTCCTACAAATAATATGTCCCCCAAATGTAAAAATACACAATTTTAAGCCGTTTTTTTATGGGAACAATACTTTCTAAGTATTTATCTTAATGATAATAACATTAATAAAGCAGTACAATACAATATCAAGTTTATAAGTTTATTTAATCCATATTAAAATACATTCTACTTCCGGAAAACTGTAGATGGTCAGTGCTTAGGGTGATCAGTTCTAAATTTTTGCTTCTTATTTGGTGGTTGGTTAACCATAGTTTTATATCACACCGCCTAGTAAGGAGAGGGCTAGGGAGATGTGGCTACAGTGATGAGTCTAACTTGGTAACATGCCATCAACAATGTAAACATATGTGATTAAAACAGTTTGATATTTCCATTAATTTATAAGCAAAGAAACGTTGCCAAACACTGGCCTGCACTACAGTACACTGCTTACTGTACGTGTTCAGCAAGGAATGCTCTCAGATGTCTTGTAAAAGTGGGGTTTCTTCCGTACAATGATGCTCTGGAATTTTTTTTTTTTTTTTTGTATAAGCAAATTTTCATAAATCGATGTTACATAAATCGAAGCACTCCTGTAGTTTGCAGAAATTCAGCAGCAAAAGATATTTCTTCCGCATTTAATAACTTTGCATTTTTATAACCCGTTATACAACACTCTTTAAGTTAATGCACATAAAGTATATCTGTTCAAGTTAAATAGACTGTCATTACAGGAGTAAAATAGTGTACAGTAATGTACAGTATACAATAAACCCTAATCATTTACAGACATTTTTAACGATCTTTCAATAGGAGGGAGCATGACACATGACTGAGATATATTGGTAGACATTGTAAGGTGGTTATCTCACTAGGTATTCAGATGTTCTACTCATTTTCTTATATGAAAATGAAGTAACTACCTACCCTAACCACTGACAGGTATCCCCCACGTATAAAGTTGTACACATTTGTATGCACAGGTGTATCTCAATATTTAAAGACTTGATATCTGTGATTTGACTATTCATGGTGGCCTAAGATGATCACCATTTAAACATCTGTGGTGGGGGTTTTGATGATCGTAGACTAGAGCAGGGGTCATCAAACTTTTTTCACAGTGGGCCGGATAACTGAAGGAATGACGCGCGCGGGCCACATAATCATTCTGTTCAATACTTGCAAGCCAGAACGAAAGCTCTGGTAACGTCAGAGCGTAGGCAGAGCTACCACGAGCCGGGGAAGGACTTGGGATCAGGCCCGCGGGCCGTAGTTTGGTGACCCCTGCTCTAGAGCATAGCAAGGCGACTCCAAGGCAGACCTATTATAAACTGCAGTATATAAAGAAAAACCATAAATACTCTTATTATATGATACATATAACATAAGAAACAAAACAACAGATAAAGTTTTCAAAACCTACTTACAGAAAATGGAGCATCTATGTTTCCTGCCTTAACTGTGGTGGCTTCTATGGGTGATGTTTTGTCTCTCACACTTCACATTAACCTAAACACGTTCTCCATCCTGTGCTACTACTGTGGGGTCCCTCTCATCCCAAGATGAAGATGGGGGAGAATCCTGCATCCATATAACCCACACGCAAGCACATAAGCCAACTTCTTCACTACAATCACCATCATACTCATAACATCTGCTTAAGTTATTTTAAAGATTGTTCGGTACTGTATACATCTTTTTATTATTATTTACATACAATAAACAATATGTATTTCTTTGCTTTCCTCTATTCTAGTTTAATTTTTTTTCTTGCCCTACCATTTTCTCTAAAAGGTTTAAGTATTAATATCTATGGCTTTGATGGTCACAGCCCCTTCCATAAACTTAACCCCTACTAATGTTGAGATCACCTGTACACACACCTGGTCATATAAGCACATACACAAAATACTGAGCTGTACAATATTATGAGACTGTCTTTATTATCTACCAGGCTAGACATCTCAATAAAAGAATACAGGGTATATCACTTGGTGCAGTTACAGTTAACATTTTTAGTTATCATTAACACCATGTAGGAAATTTAATACCCTGTATGTAATATGTAGATACCTATACTGTATTACAATTTTATATACTCTATCACCAGTGAATCAGTTTCATAATTTAAAGGTGTCACTCTAGATGGCCTGTCTTGCCTAACTCTCAATGTTCCCTACAGGATGTCCCCAGATCTGCTAATATACTGTATCACTGGCCTTTCAATCTTTTTATTTTTCTCAAAGGTACGGTAACGTCAACTCCTCCAGAATATTGTACAATATTTACATTTACTCTGAACTATTGGGCTTATGTTGCCTGGTATAGATATATATATATTTAATATTTTATATATAAAATATAGCAATTTAAACATTAAAATGCATAACTACTATTCAATCTCAGCAACAACTTAAAAACTTACAGTATATCATCAAAACAATCGAAAATAAAAAAAATTAGTAACACACCCTGTACCG